CATTAGCACCTCTAGTAATATATTTACTGAGAAAAATGGTGACGTGTTCAATACTTATTTTACCCGCTGTATGTTTGTAAATAATAGGATACTGAAGTCTTTACCTGATCTCTTTGTGAATACTTTTTTTTTACTACAAACCCATGCAAGCACAAGGAGAACATGCAAACCCCACACAGAAAGATCTGTGATCCAAACCAGGGATCGATCCCAGTACCTTCTTGCTGTGAGGCATCAGTAAAGTGTTGCTTTGACTCATTCATGCATGTTTGAGAAATACTTGAATCTCCTGTGGTCAGCATGCTGGTATAAAGCTCCACCTATTTGTACATAGCTCCTCCCTGGAGCTCAGTCTGCACCTGATCCCCACAGAGTGTCCCTCCCCCAAAGCATTGTTGTGATGACGTGCTGAAGCGGGAGTGTCAGAAATGGTAGGATGTTCTTAATGGGACAGAGTATTATTTCAAGGCGTTTAGATGATGCAGAGTCGAGTTTATTGCCTATATAACAGCATTTTCATCATGACTGAAGGTAACACAGCTAACTGATTGTGGTTTAGAATTGAAGTTTGTGCCCCAAAAGTACTTTAATACCCTTCACAGCTCCAGGCTGCAGAAACAGGACCAGTGACAAGTTGGGCAGGAATACAGTTCTGATAAACAGATCTGGAAAACTGGATAGTTTGTGTCACCTTTCAAATTTAATTTCAAGTATAGCAGTTATGGCCTATGTTTTTGTTATACTGAAGGAAGAAACAAGAAAATTATGTTTTTTTTTTCATGTATGTTGCTAAATTTGTCAATGTTTGATAGTGTTTGGAGGATCAAACTACCCTGATTTTGATGCTTATCATGAGCTGGTTCTTTATAAAAGGCTGAATCAATGAGAAATGCTGTGTGGACTTCATATACCTTGTAGGAGAGGGGGCTTAAAATGTGTCATGTTTGTAATGTGAGCAGTCAACCCAGATAAAGCTAAAACCAAACTTGACCATCCTGTCCTCTGGCTTGCTTGCTAAGATCTGAAGTTGCTGTTCATTGTTTCACTCACTGATGAAACAAACAAAACATAAATCACAAACAAAATTTTCAAAAGAATACAATAAAGAGCAGATTTATTCCTTCGGGTTATTCATACACTTTAAATATCTACAAACAGAATATAAAGACCCTGTGTTTGTGTAACGTTCATTAGATGGTAGAAAATAAGCAGAACATTTCTGAATAAAATTAACATCCATCAACTTTCTTTCATAAAGTTTAGTTACTTACTTTTGTAATAATCTTGTCTGAAATATTTTTGATTTATGAACTGTTTAAGGAGTGGACAGTGAACCAAATCGTCTAAATAACTGGTAAAACTTCTGCCAGTAAATTGGATATTAACTACACTCATATTGTAGCTCCTCCATTTTTTAAGACCCTCATATTGGCAGTGGCAGACCAACACTGTATTCTGGAGCATTGAGCAATATTTATCATCTATTTAAATTTGAAGAGTTGATGATCCTAGAACAATATATATTTAAGTGAGTTTACTCAGAGTTTGGACATCCATGTTCCTTTAACAATTTTTTTTACTACTAGTTTTTCTTTTCTTGTTGTTTCATGTCAAATAATATGAGGAAATGTTGTGAAATATTCATCATTAGGAAGACTCTAGCAAAAAATATACAGTCTCTTGATCCATGGCATTGCTAGAGATTGGCTATTTTGGTGAGAAAAAGAATCTTATAAGCTAAACCTATTTATTACTAAAATTTCCAAATATCAACATTTCTTAAACAAAGATTGAGTTCAATTTTCCATAACACAATCAAATTTTTAGTTATTCTTTTATTGTGAAGTATTCCAGAGCTGTAGAGCACTAAATAAGGCTGCTTAGTTTCCCATTTTGTTTCAAAATCGAATATCCTTTGTGTCTTTGTCTACAATGTACTGCTATTGAACATCATAGTACACTATTCCTCATTGAGAAGCATGGCGTTCAAGTTTTGTGCAGCTAGCCCCTTCCTGTCTCAAGTAAAATGGTCTGTTTTCAAGTAGAGTTCTCTGCTGTCACTACAGACCATTTCCTTAATCTCAAACCACAGCGAGAACTCCGCCCCCTCATTTCAAGTTCAATTTATTTATATAGCGCCAAATCACAACATACGTTGACTCAGGGCACTGTACATAAAAATGAACAAACTAAAGAAGAAACCAGCAGACTGCGTTGAATCACTTCATCACAGTCTCCCATCCTGAGCAAATAGTGGAGAGGAAAAACTCCCTGCTAATCAGGAAGAAACCTCCAGCAGAACCAGGCTCAGGACAGGCGGCCATCGACCGGCTGGGTTGAGGGACAGGAAAGAAAGTACATTTTAATATACTTGTCTACAAGTTACTTGACAATGACTAACTTTTTTTTTTACACAAGTTCAACTAAACAACAAGTTACAAAGAAAAAAGCAAGTTACCAATGACATCATACTGTCCTCTGTCGTCCTGTCCTCTCGTCATTGCTGGATGGTCCGATACAGTCTTCGTTCTTTTGCTTCGAGTTAGTCATTATTTTTGCATCACAAATAACACAAAATAAGATTTGCACGTTTAAAATCTTGATACCTGCCACAGCAACAGCAAGGCAGCTCTCAGTTCAAACACAACCAGCCGGGCCCAATAATGCCTTAACAGAAAGTTCACAAATCTCATTTCACATCGCCCAGTTAGCTTTCTTCTTTTTCTTCAGTGTAGTAAGTTAACTTCTGCTTTTTGCCAGTCCCTCACTAGTTACTCATTCACTCGCTCCAAACTTTCTGCTAACAACAAACAGTGGAACAACATAACCTGCAGTAAGCTAATCTCAAGCCTAGAGCGCCATCTCATGGCTGCAGACTGAAATGTTTACTCCTTGGTTCAAGTCGGTCAGAATCAGTCAAAGAAGAGAAGAAAAAAAAAAACATATAAGTCGCAGGACGAGCCAAACTATGAAAAAAGTGTGACTCATAGTCCAAAAAATATGGTAGTAATTTTTCTAAAAACAAAATTGAGCATGTTAAAAAAAATATGACACTATTGGCTCTCCATATCAGAGCAGCAGCACATTAATGTTCTGCACACATTGCTGCTAATATTGTGCAGCTATTGTCACTGGGACAAAGCAAATGATCTAGTCTGACTAAATGCTTGAGGATTCTGTATGAAAAGATGATTTCTACAGAGATAAAAGGTTTCCTTTGACCACAGAAGGACATGTTTCCTGTCCTGTGGTCCTCTCATGTTACCTGGTGATTAATAAATGACGGTTTGTGACAGGGTATACTGACTGAACTCAACATGAAACTGAGAAGAACAACAAGCAGCTCCCATCTTTCTGTTTGAGCCCGATCAGGACATTTTGTTTGGAGCTGCAGCCAACTGGGCTTACAAATGTCAGTTGGGGCCAGGTCCCACACAGACCTGCAGATGGCTGGGAGAACCTCAGGAGACGACAGTTTGCACAAACCCTTCTCCGTGAGCAGCAGTGGCAGCATTAACAGAGGAGGTCTTTTTGGGTGCGGGGTAACAGAAGAGATCAAAGTTCTCGCCAGGACCCCCAGACGGCCCATACGGGTGGTCCGGCCGGTCAGTGCTGTGACCTCTGGGGGCTCCTTTCTCCATATTAACCACCTACAAGGAGAACTGGTCCGGAAGAGGAAGGTAAGGACACACAAATGGTGCAAAAACAACACTAAAGTTAGAAAGTTGGGTTTTCTTAAAATCTGCTTTGAGTGTTAAATTTCAAACATTTTCAAAATAAAACAAAATGTTTTGCTGCATTCATTGCAAAATTTATGAGGAGCGTTTTTTTGCCTTGTAAAAGCTTCCAGCGAGCTTTCTGAATTATCTGAGTCCTCTCACGTCAGGAAGTTATTTCTAAATTTTAAAACGGGATTTGTTTTAGATAAGCTGTTGAAAGATCACCCTTTTCCAATCATGATAGCCTTTCTACTATTAATGATGGTGCTATTCCACGTATTAATAAAACATTCCCTGAAAATTAATTTTGCTTTTTTATATATAAAGCCAAAATTCAGAAGGTCAGCTTTTTGTGACCCTTTAGATCAGGCATGGGCAGTCCTGGTCCTGGAGGACTGCAGTCCTGCATGTTTTACTTGTTTCTCTGCTCCAACACACCTGATTTGAATGAATAGATGATTATCAGGCCTCTGCAGTACGGAGGACCAAAACTGACATAATTAGAAATAAAAGCACTAAATAAATACACTTAAAATGCACCAATTAAATTTAAAAAGGAGAACTTTATCTCCTGTTTTATATTTTAATTGACTTTCATATTTATTTTTCCAGGTTAGTTCCAGCAAATTTAGTCTATAAATTTGTTTTTTTAATATAAATTATTTTTTCTTTTTACTTGTACATGCATTTGTGTGTATTAAATGTTTATACTTAATTTTTTTTCCAGCAAGTCTTTTTATTTCTCTGTTGCAGGCTTGTGCTGCTGCAGTTTAGCTAAAAGTTTAAAGTTTAGTTTAAAACAAAGGCAAGGAGGAAAACATTACCTGTGCATTTATTTTTGACTKAACTTTAAGCTAAACTGCAGCAGCACAAGCATGCAACACAGAAATAAAAAGACTTGTTGGACAAAATTATAAAAATAATTCAATTCAAGCATTCAAGAGACACAGATCATGTACAAGTAAAAAGAAAAACTATGTCAAATATATGAAAAATATATTAAAATTTAAATTTTGTGTTAAAATATATAATTTATTGGAACTAAGCTGGAAAAATAAATATGAAGGTCAATTAAATTATAAAACA